TTTTAGCATCTTAAAAGTCTGCATTTGTTGCATAGATTTTTGCAAGTCGTGTGTGGTGCTAATCTCTAACACCTGACACATGAAGAAAAAGGGAGTAAAAAAAAATCAGCTATTTCAACATGAGTGAAGCAAGGTTTTTATAAATTGCTTTCAAGGTAACAACATCAAAACCAACTTGAGAGCAGAGGCAACATACTCTGTTCAGATGTTTTTGTGTGCAGTATCTGAAGGTCTGCTTGCTCAGTACTAGTTAGTATTTTCTAAAATTCTCATGTGTCAAGCCTTCAGGATATTTATAGCAATTCTTTTCACGTTGTAGGGCACTAGCAGTAGAGAAGAAATTCAAGGTCTTTAGCATACAGCATTGCTAGCATGTTCCTTAAGAGGAAGCTTTAAAAAAAGTCTAATTTATTTATGGGTTGGTTTCATTGTGTCTAAGACCAACATATCCTAACTTACAAGAATTGCTTAAAAATAACCAAGTCAAGAAACTTGAGCCTTGCTTGTTTGCACCATTTCTGTAGCTATTACAGGATGTACTACTTAGTATATAGTTACTTTTTTTCAGTTAGACTTTGGTTTATTTTTAGCCTATATAAATTTTCTTAGCTAATGTGTGCTGGGACTTTTTATGAAAAAAGGCAACAAGGGTTCCGAACTGGTAAGGCTTTCTCTGTGCTGCTTCGTCTTTGGTAGTTTACGTGCCCGTGATGACACAGGTAAAAATTTGTTTTAAGACCTTTGGACTTGATGATTAATAAAATATTGAGATTTTGTTTTTTAATGGAAATTCCAAAGTTCTTTGACACAGAGGAAGAAAATATCCTGAGAAGTATGAAAGTTATGAGATTTCGTTTGTGTTGGCCAAGAACATATTGAGGAAAAGGCGCAGAGCATGATCCAGATGTGGTTTCTGTTCAGTGAAGATCTTTAATCTGCCTTCTGAGGAAAACAAGGCCATCTCCTTTGCCATCTCTAACTTCCTGCTTCCATAATTTTTGAATCAATTGGCCAGTTTCAGACAAATGTTTAAAGAGCAGAGATAAAGATACACATTTCTTAACAGGTTTGTGAAAATTGGCAGCTGGATGGGAGAATCCTAAACTGATGCGCCTGCTCAAGAAAATCTTCATGTGAACTCAGTCATAATCTGTCCTGTTTGGTGAGTTGGTTTACCAGTCACTGTGAAGGTGGGTGGAAACTGCTAGAGCACTGTGCTGCTACTTGCTCAGCAAGAAAAAGGCAGTGTAGGTACTCCTCATGAGTTGGGCCTGGAGTTGTGGAATGAGAAGATAAAGACCAGAGTGGATGAAGCCAAACTGTTGTGGGAATGTAGGAACTGGGTGTGTGCACCGTGCTTTCCTATGAAGTTATTGGTTCTGCTGCTTACAATTTAGCTGACCAAAGAACCCCCAACTTTGTGAGATGCAGGTGACCACTTGCAGAGAATCTGTGCAGAACTCATCTCTTTTGTTGTTTTGATCTAAATTTCCCAGAGTTCATATTGACAGCCTTAGTTGTTCATAGATGTAATTTTTAGAGTGAAATGGGAGACCCTGCAAATCAAAGTGCAACGAACTTTCATTATGAAACCTCTGTAAAATCACTTGAAGGATGGGAGAACCAAACCCTAACAAAAAATGTGCTAAAGGACTGGCTGCTGTAATAATTCTATTTCATGAGGGTAGCATGACTCATACTGCTTAATGTTCCTATCTCAGTATTCAGTTTATTTTTAAGTAGTGCTGTACAAATAGTGTTTTTCTGTGCCAGTTGTTGCTATGACTTCATAATATTTCCCTAAATACGCTTGCTCATACTTTCTCACAGCATAGTATTTGGCATATAAAAACCTTAAATTCATCAGAATTTCCTGAGTGCTGATCATTTTCATGCTTTTATGGAAAAAAAGGATAGCTCTGTGTACTGTGTAGTTTTAGTGGAGGAGGAGTAAAAGTTTAAAAAAAAGTCCCCACGACCTGTTCTCTCATTTAAGAAAATGTTCCTCTGTTTCAGCTTTTCCAATTTTTCCATGTAGCTTTTCAGATTAGATTTCCAGCATGGTTATAATTTAGGCTATTTCATTAAAGTTAAGCAGACACTGTATTACTTTAGAATACTTTCACTGTCTTTTTTTTGTAATTGGAAGGGGACTTCTTGTGTGGTTTGGGGTGGTGGGATGGGTGACTTCTTAAAACTTGAAGTGTATACTTTTGCCTAAGGGTTTCTTTTTTCAAGATGCTGAACTCTGCAGTGGTTTGCCTGGTCTCTTCCAAATGGCAGTAAACACTTCGGTTGAAAGATCTTGGTGTGCTATAGAAAACCAACTATAATCCTTTCCGAGAACTTTTGGAATCTTGCTCCTTCCCTTGTTCTGCATGGCATGCCTGGGTCACATGCTTGCTTCAATCACTTGGTTTCGGAGTAGTGTGAGTGTTAGTGCTGCCTAAATGGGAAAAAGGCAAGAGGACACAAACAGTTAACAGAATCTAGCTAGTGTTTATTGATCTAACAAGTTGTCTTTAAACTCTAGGTCTCCCTTTGATCAGATAAAATAATACCAGAAATTATGGTTGAAGATACCACTGTGTAACCTTATATTTTTGTGAAAACTTTAAAATAAACAAACTCTTAGAAAAAGCTGTTTAATGTCAAACTATTCTTTTGAGTTTATCCGACTAGTTGCAAGTTTATTGTACTTTTGCTTCCTTATTGTGCTGCTTATGGCTATCTGAGAAAGACTATCAGAAAATATAAACGCTTCCAAATGCGATCTCTGCTTACCTTGATGTATTGTAAGAATTGCAAGGGCCAAAATTTATCTGGAAAGACCTCATTCCATGTAAAAGTGTGCTGCTAAGAAAGTGACAGTTGAGTAGTGTTTTAATGCACTTCCCCTCTTGGTTCAATAAAAGCACAGGTGGAAAAGCAGTTTTTTTGGTAATTACTAATAACATAAGTTGAAGATTGTTAGGCTGACATGTAAAAATACTTTGTCTCAATATATCATCTTCCTTTCTAGTTGTTGCCATTTTGCAGAACCTTCCTGTATTTTTGGCTGTCTCTTCAAAATAAAAATCTAACAATTGATGTTCCTGTTGTAGTTTTCAGTTGTGTATTCAGTGCTAAGGTTATTTAAGCCTTATGTGAATTGGATGAAAAACTGTTCAGGAGAAATGGCTTGTCTTACCAGCCACAGTGGTTCTTTGTTCTGTTTGTGCTGTCACTGTCCAAACAACTGTTTTGTTTCAGTACCTAGTTTTTGTTACAAACAAGTGGTGTATGCCTGTCCTTATGGCACAGTTGTTTTCGAAGTATCAAAGAAATGCGAAGCTAGCGTTGAATTCTGCTTGGCCTTGAAGGCTTTCGATTCCATTTCTCTCAGCAGCATGTCATAACCACTAGGTTGCAAGATAGGCCAGGTTTGTAGGCATTTGCTGCTCTCCCTTTTGAAGTGGCCCTATTGCATGAAGGCAAGCAGGATTCATAGGTCAAAAGAGAGAGGGAGCTTCACCTGATAGTCTGCTGATAAAGGTATTCATCCCAGAAGGGGTGGTAAAATCTATTTACCCATATGTTGCCTTGGCAGTAGTTGTAGGCAAACTTGATAGGAGAAGCTAAAGAGGAGAACTTGATGAAGTATCTGTAGAGATTAGGCAGGGATTTGCATGTGTGTGTTGTGGGAGGGAGCCATTTTCTTCATCTCCTACCTCTTGGTCTCCACCCCGCAAACCACATTTGTGGATGTAAGTGCCTGAATTTTTGCCTCAGTACTGTTTTTGATTACTTACCTTAAATGTTAGCTTAGGGTAACCCTAAATATTTTTTTATACAGAGTGCTTTATAAACAGTCATCTCCTTTGAGTATAGATCATATTTTTCTTCCATGCAGCTGTGTCTGTATAAGTGAGAATGCCTGAATTGTTAAAGTAATGACAGACTTTTAATAAAGATCAGAATTTGGAGTTGATTTTTTTCCCCCCGTTTGTTTTGCTAAAAGAAAACAATGAAATTATATGGTAACATGTCACAAATAAAATGCAGTAAAACTGGGTGTGGGAGTTTCAACTTCTAGGGAAAGTAACTGTTAGCGTCAAGGATACCTTCTGTCATCGAGCCTATAACCTTTTACTTGGTATGTGTGCAACAGTAGATATCTGCATCATACCATCATTTAGAATCTATCATCTGCTTTAAAATGCACATGAGTAGTACCAAGAAAATAACAAGTAGCTCAGGTAGTTACTAGCCCAGTAAGAGATCACAGCTGGCTGGGGAAGATAACTGGGGCTGTCTGAGTATCAGAAACTGTGCTGAGACTTTCAGGAAGGTGGCTGGTCTTGTCTCCTATGTTTGACTTCTGTAGCTGCAATGCTCTTCACCTTGTTTTTGCTTTACATTCTTGCTGAGAAAGCTCTGTTTTGCATTTGTGGATGCCTTTAGCTTTCAAGTAGACTATTTGAATCTAAAATTCTTACAGAAATAAAACTTTTTCCTTCTGAAAAGATTTATTTATTTTTCTTTAAATCAGCAAGTGTTTTTGGCTTTAAATATTTCCAGTGGATTTCATTATATAGCAGTTTTCCAGTGAAAAAGGAATAGGAAGCAGTGCAGGTTATTGTATCAGTAGCAAAGGTCAGTTCATTGTCTCTTACGGAATGCTTTGAAGTGGAATACTTAGTAAGCATCATGCTACTCAATCTTTTATTTTGGTTGCAATAGGAAATTTTATGATAAATTCAATAGTTTGGTGAAATTTGATAGAGGCAGATGGATTGAACACTTTCTGGACAACAAATGTCGTGATAAAAGTCAAGAACTTAGTGTGGCAGAACAGTGTTCTGTTGCGAAACACGCTTATTTGCATGTCATATGTGGTTACCTCTTGGTTTTATTTGACATCCCTAAATATAAAAAAATTGAAGGATGTTACCTAACTTCATTTCTCTTTTGATAACTGTTTTTCATTAATAATGTTCATAAATAATTTCTTGTATCTTTTTACAGATTCTGAAGGTGTTTAAGCTCTGACTACTTTAACAGCTCTTCATACATAGAAATGTCTGGCTCATACGATGATTCCGTTGGAGTAGAAGTTTCTAGTGATAGCTTCTGGGAGGTAACCCAAATGTTTTATCACAATATTTTGATTTTATTTTTTTACTCTTATTATAGAAAATCTGATTTTTGTACATTGTAAACTGTGGAGAGAGCTGCAATACAAGACACCTTTGGTTATTGTGATCTGCAGAAATAGCCTTCAGGGTAGAAATGACCTTTTAGATTTTGACCTAGTTCTGTCAAGGGTTTTTAACTGCAACAAGCTTGAGGATCATACATTTGGGTAGGATATGCAATTCAGAATTGAACCTTTGTCAATTTTTATTGATGAAGAGGGGTGTGGGTGGGTAGTTTTTAAAATTACCAAGGAGGTTGAATGATCAATGTTAAATCTAAAGTAACTGTTAAAGGCTACTGTAAGTGTACATAAATCACAAATGTAAGAACAGTGTGTGAATGTACTGCACGTCTCCTGTTTGTGTCTAGATATAAGTATAAACTTTTTTGAGAGAAGTTACCTTATGCTTATCTCTGTGTAAGAGCATACATGCAGAAAGATAATACAAAGCACATTGTATTATCAGTAACGTGTGCTGCCCCAATCTGAAGATGACTTTCAGATGTTATGATAATTTGATTAAGCTTTAAAGAGAGCAAACTTGATAAATCAGAAAGCATTTTACAAAAAAAAAAGTTTCTGGCAAGAAAAAGAAAGGTTTTACAGTGTCAATACTGACATAGTTGGAGGTAAGTACACTGTCCAGATGAACTGGGTTCAATAGGGCAGACTTCTGCCATGTGACTGGGAGCTCTTCGGAGTTTCAACTGTAGCAAACATGAAAATGGCTAGGGGGAAAATGTCTGAATATTTCTGTTACCAGAGACATATGTGAGACAGCTTGGGTTTGGTGACCTAACATTGTGCTTCCTTTTAAATGAAAGCATTACTAGACCACTAACCTGTGTTGGTGGTGAGGGCATATTGCATCTCCCATTATTTTTTGATACACCGTATAAAAGACCTAATACCAGTGACATTCTTGTTTAGCAGACAGCTATCACTTTTTGACAAGCTATATTTACTATTATGTTAAATATGTCTATCCTATTTATAAAGAAATGGTTTTAAAATTACTGAATTCTAAGTCTTAACCCCTTTTGTTGTAGGGGTACTCTGTGGTGTGACTGCAGAGAGGATGTGGGACCTCTGCTCTGAGGTGTCAGCTGGGACACGGTCCTGAGCTATCTGATCTATCAGACCAGCTTGGAGCAGGGTGTTAGACTAGATGATTTCCAGAGGTTCCCTCCAACCTCAATTATTCTGAGTTTTTTATTGTATGCTGAGACAACTTTCTGGACAAGCTTCCTTGGTAGAAGTCTCAAAATAAAATAAGGAGGCAGTCAGGAAAAAAAGAATCCTGGACCAAAGGGGACTTTTTTTTTTTTTAATGTGTTGGGCATCCTATACTTGGCAGGAGAACATGACTTCTGGCTGGCTATTCTGTACCAAGCTGTTGTCTTCCATCAAGTAATCATGTCTGAAAGCATAAAAGATGAATGAATAAGAATGGGAATTCTGTAAACTAGTATGATTATGTTTGGACAAATGTGAACTCCAGTAATGAATATCAAAGGATGATAGATAATCGGAAATAGCAATTAGCCTAAGCTAAGACCTTTACAAAGCATAGCTTAAATGAATTTGACACTTATTATAGGTGGGTTAGAGGTGTTCTTTGTGTTTATGCTATTGATGACTTATTTTATATCATTTTGTAAACACTACTTCTTAATCTGTTTCTTTGGACTTTTCTATGTATTCCTTCCAAAAGGTCAGAACTGTGGTCTGTTTCATAAGCAATGTCAGTAGGCTAATGTGTAATGCATGAGTATATCTTTACTTATCCCTGGATTAAAAAAAAGTTAGACTTCAGTATTGCAATCAGTTTCTTTCCTTATAGGCTTAATTCTTTGCTCTGCTCTTTTTCTTTTTTGATGTGTAACCACAAAGGTTGTTATGTTAAAATGGTCAAGAGGAAAAATTTCAGGTTGAATAATGAATTTATTTTTCTTCTGAAACTTTGAGTACCTCAGGCTGAAAAAGTAATATGTTTTGATAGTTGACAAATGCTGAGTAGAACAGGTGTGCAAGTTGTTCAAAGGGGAAAATTAGCATTTAAAATCAGTTACAAGTAATCTCAAAATTGAAGATGCAATTATATTCTCAGGGAATGAGTTGATTAAAAATTCTAGAGACCATCTTCATACTCTCTCTTCAGGGAGTGAAACAAAGGTTTGACTGCAGTAAAAAAATGAATCCCAATGATAAGTCAATGGCTTTGTTAATGAAGTGACTTTAAGGATGTTCAAAGTATTAACAATTTTTCTGGAAGCAAGATGGGACTTTCCATGCAATTGATGACTATGTTTAAAAAAAATAAAAATTTTAAAAATCCTATATTTTCTTGTACTAAGCTTTTGACAGTTTAGCAATATAAAAGGAAATATTTCACTAAATTATGGAGTTTTGAGTATTGAATTCTGTGGGAAACACTACTTGTTTTGCTGTTCCTCTGCTTTGTGCTGTTTGATTCTTAGGAGAAGCAGACAAGTGGGGTTTTGTGGCTACAAATGCTGATTCTTTAAAAAACATTAATAGAGATGGTTGTGTTCTTGCTACAGATGTAAAGGCTGTGTCATTATTTTAGCAAAGTGACTAATGGTCTGACATTTCAATATGTTGAAACTAAGTTGTATTTGAGTGAAATGAGAGGCTGTAAAAGTTTTGCAGTTGGTTAGTGCTTAAAATATCACCACTGACATTGGTGGTGTGGTTTAAAAAAAAAAGGCAAAAACCAGCAAAGAATTGGTTCGAGTTAAAAGATACAGCGGGTTAACATAAAGTGTTGTATGTATAGCTGAAAGGCTGTAGTAGGTATGCTTAAATGTTTATGTAACTGCATGGAGAGTTGAAAAATGTGTGGTATGACATCCCTGGCATTCTGCAGAGATTGAGCTTTTATGGATATGTTAAGATACTTTGAACTAAGCATGAAAAAGAGTACTCGGAGATAGATGATAAATTATTTTATAGTAAGGCTGAACTATTAACAGGAGGGATTGACATTGTAGTGAATTTTAACCTTCATGCATGCTATGCTTGGTAAACTTAGAGTTGGTGTGGTTTGAGGCAAACATGCTTACAAAGCTGTCTTAAAAACATCTATATAAACTTTTCTCCCAATGGAAATAGCTGAGAGAATATATTAGGCAAAATCCTACTGTTTCTTTGCACTCTGATACTTATCATAGGATGACTCCTTATTACTGGGTATTAAACTTTTCAGAAGACCGACAGTCTTTGCAATATCCTATTATAGTGAGAAATATGAATAACGTGGAACTTATCTTTTGGTTGACGGCCTTTATAGTTGCATGTAGCATCATGTGGTAGGAAAGGTGTTTGGGTTTTTTTTATCCACAGACTGAACAAAATTCTTGAACTAAAGCACAGCATAAGGAAAAGTGGTAAAGTACCTAAAGCTGTGCTGTCTGCTGCAGTGTAGTCTTGATACAGGGTATTTTGAGTGATTGCTTTCATCCAGGAATAGTTTTCTTGTGACCTCTGCACTCTACACTTCTGCATTTCTGTGAGAGTAATTGCATTTTGACATGCATGCCTGATACTAGCCTGGAATGTAATTTGGTTTGTATATACTTCTCTGTTTGAGCGAATAATTAAGGTATCCAGCAGTTTGCTTAAGCCAAGGAATGCCTTGACAGAATGTACCATTTGACTTTAAACTTTGCCTTTCTACAGAGAAGCCTGACAAAACAATAAGACAGGAATTATCCTTGTGATCAAGAGTTAAGAGGTGGGAGGAGGTTTGCCAGGCTTCTGCTGTTGGTAAAACGTGAACCTAAAGTAAAGGAAGTCCTGTGCAAGTCTTAATATATTAACTTAAGAATAACTCTTCTGTGTTAAGTGACATGCAGAAACTAAAAGCAAGTCTGTCAAACTTAATTACCAAACTCTTGTTTAAGTACTTCTGATTTGCAGCTATCTTTCCAAACTAAATTTGACTGAATTTTAGTCTAAAATTTGTCCTTTTTCCATATGTTCTGAATTGGTTCTTTTGTTTCTGAAGATTGCAACTTTGAATTCTAGTCTTAATCTTTCTCAAAATGGGTAACTACTTTGATCAATGTTTTGTCTGACTTGATTAGAAAAGATGCAGTGTCTCTAGAATGCCAGCCTCGCTACTTATTGGCTCAGGTAACAGGAAATTACTCTTAGTCAATTTGGAAGATGTATCGTTGCTGCAGAATTGTCACTTGCACCCTTTCGTTAGAGGTTTTTAAGGTATTTTACACAATTGGTTTTTCTTTGTTTTTGGAGACTGTCTGCAGTTTGTTAAAAGCCACTTTGCTATGTTTTACTGCCACAGCTGAAAGCAGTAAATGTGTTTAAACTTGGCCATGGCACAGAAGAGACAGTCTGGCAGGGTGAGCTTTTGAGTTTGTTCCCTCATGCTCCAAAATAGCTCAAATTTATTTACCTTTGGAGTGTGCTGCAAAGCCCATTTTTTTCTTGAAAGACATTTAGGAAAGAGTGAGGTGGCTGGGTGTGGGACCTATCTGAAGAACTTACTGTGAAAACTGTTTCTTGCTCACTGCATATCTTTGAAACTAAACCACTTATATTTCTGAAATGTTGATGTTCTGTTGAGCTGATGAAAAGAACTGTACTTAATAAAATGTTGATAAACCAACTTCAAAGTTTTTGCTATTGCTGTTGACAGAAATTTCATGCAGTGTTGTCTTTAGGAAATAAAACACTTTGTTCTTAATCACTTTTCTGGCTCTCAAAGTGTTTGCTTTCTTTTGGAGCTGTCACTGCTTTTGCTAGGGTTCCTTATTACAAAGATGATTACTAGCAGTTTGATCTTATTTAAATATGTGAATCTACATTATATGATGGAAACTGAACTTACTGCTCTAACCTTGTCTGGTTGCACATGCTCAGACTGTCCATGGAGCAATTCAATGCAGGTTACT